CAGCCTTTTGATTCTGCAGCCCTTTCATCACTGCTTTCCTGGGCTTGTCAGTCAGTTAACTATTCCTGTACCACGGACATTTTCACATTAAGCAAAATATAAAACATACTATTATTGCAATAACTCTTTGTCTTTCTGTACCCCATAAGATGTTTCACCTGGAGATAAACCTATACTACATGGTAACAATCAGAAGATTACCGCTTCACATCAGGAAGCATCTGAATTGATCCACCATGGCTGGGCTTCAGGCTTTCTCCATATCCAACATACTTTGCTAAAGATTGCACATGGCTAAACCAGAATGGCAGTCAGCTTTTGAGATCAGCACACTTTATGCCCTCATGTTTCAGCAATGGCAATTTATTGACACTAATTCTTAATAACAGGAATCTTATTTAATCCTGAATAAATTGTGCACCTCAGAGCAATTTTAAACAGTTTAAGATACTTAAAATATTTTCTTTTAACAACCTGTCAATAAAGTAAAAGAAAAGTGAAATAGGGCATGTTGAAAGTGTGATGGTTATGTTTTAAATTTGTTTAGTTTATTGCAACGGAGTGTAAGATATCCAATCAATAGTATTATACTCATTATTGTAATATACTCCTCATATGAAGATTTACAAAAAAGCAATATAAACTTTGCCAGTGAAAAACAAAATGAAATATGTGCACAAATTCATCAAAATAACCACTACCTGTTTTCAAGTAATTCCTAGGATTTTTAAAAAAAATCAGTAGTCAAATTCTGTCCCCTAGTCTCATATAATCTCTTTCTAAAATCCATTATTTCAAAGCTAAATCTATCTAGCAGAGCAGGTACATTTCTCCTGTAAGAAATGATATGCCGCCACATCTATGCTACTTAGCATAGTAAATTGCACTAGAGTAAGCCCACTGAATCAATGGGGATTTGGTGAGTCAACTTCTCTAAATTCCTCGCAAACCTTTTAGAATTCTTTGAAAAGGTCAACAGACATGTGGATGTAGGCAAACTAGTTGATATTGTCAATCTGGATTTTCAAAAAGCATTTGAAATGGTCCCTTACCAAAGGCTTCTGAAAAAACCCCACAGTCAGATAAGAGGGCAGGTCCTCTTATGGACTGAGAATTGGTCGAGAACCAGGAAACAGAGAGTAGGTGTCAATGGGCAATTTTCACAATGGAGAGAGGTGAAAAGTGGTGTGCCCCAAGGATCTGTCCTGGGACCGGTGCTTGTCAGCCTGTTCATAAATGACCAGGAGACAGGAATAAGCAGTGGGGTGGCCACGTTTGCAGATGACACAAAACTTTTCCAGGTGGTGAAGACCAGAAGGGATTGTGAAGAGCTCCAGAAGGATCTCTCCAAACTTGGAGATTGGGCAGCAAAATGGCAAATGCGTTTCAATATAGGAAAATGTAAAGTAATGCACAATGTTGTAAAAAGTCAAAACTGTCCTCTTTTTTCCCTTGACTGCTCCTGCTTATGCCTCCTTCTCCCACCCTCTTACCTACTCTTTCCTGTCCACCAGTCTCTGTCTCGCCTTTTCCCACCTCTTTTAACTTTCTTTATCCTTCACCTGTCCTCTTGTCTTTCTCCTCTTCCCTAGGGGTCTCTTGTCTCTTCCTTTTCTCAGTACTCATTTCTCTCCCTTCATTCTTAACCTCTTTTTCCCTAAGGAGGGATGGCACTCTGGAGGAGACAAGTTCAGAACCACCCTCCAGCTCAAACACATGCGGTTGCACTCTGCTTGTGTTTCCTTTGAAATCAAGAATTCAAGGATAAAAAAGTAACTTCCTGCCCAAGTTCTCCTTATTGCCAGTTCTTCTATTAAGTCATCTATATTGGTTAGAATCAAGTCAAGGATAGTTATTCCTCCAGTTCCTTCCTCCATTTTTGGAGGAGAAAGTTACCAGTAATATAATCTAGCAATTTACTGGGAGGGCCTCCCAACAGATCTCAAGATAACTGAAATTTCCTGTTACTACTATGCTGTGTCTCCTTGAAATTCATGAAACTTGTTTTTCAAAGGTGTTGTCTGCATCTTTATGTTGATTGAATGGCCAATAGTAAACTCCAACTACCACATTCCTTTTGTTTTTTGCCCCAATTATATTAAACCAGTCATTCTCAATGGGACAACCAAATTCATCCTCCTGTACTTCCTATGCAGTAATATGTATTTTTGACATGTACTGTGATTCCACTTCCCTTTCTATTCCTTTTCGATAATTTATATCCTTCAATTGCTTTGTATTCTAATCATGGGAGTTATCTCACCAAGTTTCAGTTATTCCTAGCAAGACATATTTATCCTCCTGAACTAAAATTTCCAGTTCTTGTATATTTCCCATACTCCTGGCATTCATATACAGATGCTGGAAAGTGTGTGATTTGTGACCTGCTTGTTTTATACATTTTTATGAAGAGTATCATTGGTCCCATTAGAGCTTATTGGTCTGTTCCATCTTCCAGGAAGGTTAGTCTGTGATCCCCAAGTTCAAAATCCCTCATGTCGGTACCATTTTTGTAGCAAGTCATGCACATAGATTATTTTTCTTTCTGTTTCTATTCTTCTATTGGGTATTGAGAGTATGGATGAGAAGACTGGGTTCCAAAGTCATCAAGTTTCCTTCCCAGAGCTTCAAGGTCTGATATGATTTCTTTGTAGTTCCTCTTGGCTGTATCATTTGTTCCCACATGAATGAGAAGAAAGGGATGTGCATCTGTGAGTTTTATGAGCGATGGCTATCTTTCCATTCAAGAAGAGAGCATACCTGGCAGGTTCAATGGATCTTTCTGGCATATTACAGTTTCAGTCTCACATACTCATAGTAGAAAGTTCCTACTACAACTACCCTTCTTCCTTTTTGTAAGATGTGGGTTCAGTGACTCTGGTTGGCTGAGCTTCAGCCTTTCTCATGTCCTCCTGTGGAGTTCCCTGTATGTCTTCCACTGTCCGCCACAAGAATCTGAAAGTGGTTTTGCAGTTCCACTGATGAAGAGTGTCCACAAATGAAGAGTGTTTTCTCCTTCTTTTGCTCCTGTGTCTCTTTTCCATGCTTCTTCCTCCACTTTGTTTGTTCTTTTCTCAGACCCTTTCCCTCTACTTTGTCTTGATGTTCTTCTACCTTCAGCGCCTTCCTTGGTGGCTGCTGCTCTAGAGTTTTGTCTATGTACTCTTAGTCTTCTCTTATAGCCTTAAGCATGGCCACTTGCTGTTCCAGTTCTTTCACTTTTTCTTCCAGCAGTCCTATCAGTTTGAACTTGCTGCATGTGCATGCTGTGTTGTTCCCAGGCATGAAGACAAACATTGCACACACTTGGCAGCTCACCATAACTGAAGTGTCTAATCATAATCTATACTCTCTTTTACAACAACCCTGCTCAGTTCTTGCAATCTCAAGCCTGAGGCTTTTTTTTAAGGAGTCAGTTCATCTCATATTTGGTCTTCTTCTTTTCCTGCTGCCTTCCACCTTTCCAAACATTATTGTCTTTTCTCTACCTTCTTGTGATGTGACCAAAGTAGGACAGCCTCAGTTTCAACACTTTTGCCTCCAGAGATAGTTCTGGCTTGATTTTATCTAGGACTCAATTGTTTGTCTTTCTGGCAGTCCAGGGCATCCATATTTCAAATATTTTGCATCCAGGTTTTTTGCTCAGATCATAACAAATAAAAAAAACTAGGCAAAAAATCTAGAGAGTTTTTTAGAAGAAGTATTTGGGGGAACAATGAATTAGAAATAAAATTAAAATTCCATATGTGAAGGGAAAGACAGAACTGACTGTCTTCCTGCTTCCTTTTCTGCTCCAATTACTTGCTTTGCAAATTCTTCTATATTTTAAAAATTATTTTCAACGTACAGTATCAGATTTGGCCCCTAGGAGGAACCTGAAAACATTCCTCTGTATTTTTCGTAATGATTAACGCATCAACAAGGACAGCACAATGTAAAGCACAGTAATGAATCGGGCAATGAGTTCTTTTAAAAAGTGCTCCCAGTTCTGTGATACAATATTGCAAGCTTCTGTAACCTTAGTGTATGTCTGTTGGTCAATTTATGTTTAAAATGTCAAGCTAAGAAGTTCAAAGGACAGATCAATCCCATCGAACCGAAATACACACACACTTATGCATCCTTTGCCTTCTTATACCTTGGCTTACACTCTGAGTAAACACAAGAAGTGAGCTCCATTCCTTAGATCTGTAAATTGGGGGGGGGGGGAGATGGACCTCTTAGCCACCTAAGAGAGAAAAGCTCTAGTTACCTAAGACTAAGCACATTAAACATAAGTAATCTCCCTTTCCCCAAATACAAGTCAATAACACCTGGTCTAGTATAGATTAGGTAACTGTGAATCTGTGTTAAAACTGTATTGAAAAGCAGCTGTTTGTAGATGTTGATCCTGTCAAAAGTTGTGTTTCATTTCAGTTCTTCCACATCACTACATAGGGACTGGAGTCGCTACTAGAATTTAGATGGAAGCCAAAAGAAAAATGAATCATTGTGCACATTTTGAGTGGAGAAAGGGAGAGTTCTGGATTTCCTGGCTTTAGGCAATACATCTTCAAGCCTAACTTTTTCCTTTAAATTCCTAAAAGACAAAAAAATCCTTTGGTTTTAAGTCAAACTCTTTTTACGAATTTAAGTCATAAAGCAAACAAGAATGTTTTGTGAAAGCTAAGCAATTAAGATATATAAGTAAACTTTTCCACAATATTCTGCTAATGCAGAACTCTACTACACAAAACCTATATTTCCTTCTTCCATACTGCACTGAACAAGCATAATATTTTAAAAATCTTTGCTGCTTTAACACTAACACTTCATTTTAACTGTGTGTCTTCTTTTATTCTTACTAAATACATTTCAGGAATGCTTAGTTGTGAACCTAGTTGTAGTCACATCTACAGAGCTGCAATAAAGAAAATGTTTCCTTATTAACAGTGAGCCAGCCAGATGACTGTACAATATAGTTAAAATAGATGGAGGAGACATGTTTTTGAAAATCTCACCTCTGTCAAGGTCTCAATGCTGTCACTACTGTTTTTCAGACTCTGTTCCTCTGCACAACTAGAATACTGAAAAACAAATGATAAATCACATTAGTGGGTGTCAGAAGTATCAAACTCATGGAGAGGGTGGCAAGGGCCACCAACCAAGAAGGTATTAATAGCCTATTTTAAAAGTACTTTCTGTTTCTGTATTTTTTTCATGCACACACTTCCTGTACTTTTTTCCCATTCTTGGGAACTACCATCCCCCCTCCAAACTGTTTTATAAGGAACGTCAAATTTTTTTTCTCATGTAAAATCCTTCCTCCCTACTCTTTGTAATGCAGGAATGTCACATTTTCGTGAGGATGAGAGACAAATGCACTGCAGGCAAAAAATGCTGAGGAATCAACCCCTGGTTCCCGAATGGGACGTTACTGGCAAGGGCAGAAAAAAAAAGAAAATATTTACACTTTCTTGAGAAAACCTAACGCTAAATCAAGCCCTTGCAGGTAAGGAGAGGAAGACCGAGCGATTTCATACAAATAAAGGGTTCAACAATGCGAAGAGAAGCCAAAATGCTTACTTACAAAGTGTCCCGACCCCTCCATTTGGTCAGAGTGGCTTTTGGTCGCCATGGCAACAGCGTCTCTTCGTTGCCGGTCGCGTTTTCCTCTGTGTGCGCCGTTCCGTCGGGCCGGGCTAGAAACAAAGACCTTGTGCAAAACGTTCCTGTCAACGATGCAAAAGGAGTTTCTTTCCTATACAGTATTTCAACGTAGCACATTTTGCTCCTTCTACCTTTCCGGTCGGGAGATATTCCGGCAGGGTGCTTGAGAAAGCGACATTGCCTCCCACTGCCATGTGCGGCTTTCTCGCTTCTAATTGCTACGCGAGTAGCTGCTTCGTGGGAGTTTCCTTTGATGTCTGAGAATTTCTTCTGAAAGGTAAGACTGTCCCGGTGACCGAGGCTCGTATATACGTAATTGTTTGGGTTTTTTTTTCTTGTAACGTTGGCTCGAACTCTTTTCTTCCTGAAGCGAGTGATATATGTATTCTCGCTTCAAGAAGAACTGCTCTCCCGTGTGGTGCTCACGGGCTGCTGCTCCACTGTTTTCTGTCAAAGAGCCTTTAGGGCTATTGTTTTTTGTAAGAGGCCGCGGAGCAGCGGGGCTGCCTCTCCTCGAAGCTGTCCCCAGTCGCCCTGTTCTCTTGGGCGAGGTAGACTGGGCTGTGACAGTTGCGAAGGTGAAGGGGTGCAGGCAGGAACCCTGGCACTGTGCTCGTAACATAGGCTAACTGACAACTCCGAAGCAGGCCTAGATCCTCCTCCTCCTCTCGTACATATATTCCTGTTATTAAATTAGTAGTTGTTCTTAGTTGTGTCTCTACTGTATTCGCGAAGGCTTTCACGGTTGGGATCTAAAGGTTGTTGTGGGTTTTTCGGGCTCTTTGGCCGTGTTCTGAAGAACACGGCCAAAGAGCCCAAAATACCCACAACAACCATGTGTCTCTACTCCCAGACCAAGGGAAGATTAACCTCCTTTTCTCTCCCCTTTATCAACATCTTAAAGGGCTTTCAGCAAAGTTGTGATGTGCTCGGAAAGATAATAAGGCATGTCATTTGTTATCGCCTAAATAATTATTTATTTATTTATTGGTGGACTTTTTAATTGCTGAGAGAAAACGGGGTATCTATATTTGGATGGTGAAAGTTGTGTATATTTTAACTTTTTTTTTGTAGTGTTGTCCAGTTTTACCTTGGGGAAGAGCACCTCATTTCGTTGCACCCACTTGTGAGCGCAATGACAAATAAATTTCTTATGTCTTATGTCTTATGTCTTATGTCTTATTGCATTTATATGCTGCCCATCTAGACATAGTCTACTATGATAGTAGCTATGATGGCATGGTTTAGATGTGAATCCCTGAGATTGATTTCAAGGTACCAGTGTGGCTGTTTATCTCTTATACTGTACAGTATAGGCTTTGTCAAACTTTTTTTCTGCAGGATATCAGCAGGCGGTTTATTTGCTTATTTCACATTATTTAGCAATGCTAGGAGCAGTTAACGGAGTAGACTTTGTCTAAAAAGGCGGGATAGAAATCTAATAAATAAATAAATAAATAAAAGTTTAAAAATAAGTATAAACTTAACTTTATGGTAGTTATGTCTACCATAGATTTATGGTAGGTCTAACAATAATGATTTTGAATTGTGGTTCTGGAGGAGACTCTTGAGGGTCCCCTGGACTGCAAGGAGAACAAACCTATCCATTCTGAAGGAAATCAACCCTGAGTGCTCACTGGAAGGAGAGATCCTGAAGCTGAGGCTCCAGTACTTTGACCATCTCCTGAGCAGAGAAGACTCCTTCGAAAAGATCCTGATGTTGGGAAAGTGTGACGGCAAGAGGAGAAGGGGACGACAGAGGGCGAGATGGTTGGACAATGTCATTGAAGCTATCAACATGAAATTGACCAAACTCCGGGAGGCAGTGGAAGACAGGAGGGCCTGGCGTGCTCTGGTCCATGGGGTCACGAAGAGTCGGACATGACTTACAGACTAAACAACAACAATAGACATAACTATGACTGGGCTATATTGAAATAAAGTAAAGGCAGGTCATGGTAAATATCTGAAAACTCTTGAATTGCGAGAATCCTCAGTACCTGATAACTCTTTCTTTCTTTCTCTGGCTTGTGAAATAGCTACTGTTTTTTTTCCTGCTTTCTCCAGGAACCTATGATACAGGTAGAAGTTGAAACAGCTTAAATTGTCCTTTAGAACTATGCATCTGATTTGGTGATAACACATCCTGTGCAGTTGGAGTAGATAGGCTTCATTCATTTTGATTAATCTTATGGCCAATCACCTAATCCTAGTGATTTCAGGCATTGGTGGGATCAACTATTTAGGTCAACCTGATAGCCATAGATGTGAAACATACCCTACGTAGTCTTCCACCATACTGGGATTTATGTTAACCCTGAGACATCTGGTGGGCACTATCAGCTTGCTTTTTTTATCCTACAGTATCTGAGCATAGCACTAGTATCCTTGCATATACAAAGCCAAAATCAGATCTGAGCTTCTGTGGGTGGAGAATCTGCAAAAAGAGTTCCTGTTTATTATTGGCAAACTGCAGCCTCGTATAATTGAGCTGCAGTATGTCTTTTACTGTCCTCCTCAAATATTTAATAGGCAACTTCAGTCTCCTCAGAGTCAAAATCCCAGCTGGATTACTGTAAGAGCTGCCTTGGAAGGCATTTGGAGACTTCAGCAGGTTCAAAATGCTGCTTCCAGATTGTTAACTGGGGCTGGTAGCAGGGATCACATAACTACCCCCATTACATCCGCTCCACTGGCTGCCAGTCTGGTTTAGACTTAGAGCACAGTTCAGAGTGCTGGTTTTAATCCATAAAGCTATAAATGGTTTGGGAGTCCAGGCTATCTCAAGGATCACGATTCCCTTTATGAGCTTGCCTGGGTATTAAGATTGCCTGGGTATTAAGATCCTCAGATGAGGCCTTTCTCTTGTTCCCACCATTTTCACAGATTCATTTGGTAGGGACATGGGAAAAGACCTTCTCAGTCACTGCACCTAGACTCTGGAACTCCCTCCTCTGGAAGGGGAGGTTGCCCACATCTTTACTGTCCTTCCACAAATGAAGAAAAACCTTTCTTTTCAGACAGGCTTTCTCTTAGTGATTGGCTGTCTGAGAGGGGTTTTTAAAATTGAGTGCTAAAATAAGAACCTAAGAAGAGCCCTGCTGGATCAGGCCAAGGGCCCATCTAGTCCAGCTTCCTGTATCTCACAGTGGCCCCACCAGATGTCTCTGGGAGCACACGAGACAACTAGATACCTGTCTCCTGATAGCCCTCCCCTGCATCTGGCATTTTAAAGTAACTTCCTTTTAAGCCTGGATATTATACATCCCCAGGTTTAAAAGGAAGTTACAAGTAGCTTGTAACCTGCAATGGACTCCTCCAGAGATCCTTCTGCAGCTCTTTACAATCCCTTCTGGTCTTCACCACCTGGAAAAGTTTCGTGTCATCTGCAGACTTGGCCACCCCACTGCTTATTCCTGTCTCTTGACCGTTTATGAACAGGCTGACAAGCACCGGTCCCAGGACAGATCCTTGGGGCACACCACTTTTCACCTCTCTCCATTGTGAAAATTGCCCATTGACACCTACTTTCTGTTTCCTGGTTCTCAACCAATTCTCAATCCATAAGAGGACCTACCCTCTTATCCTCTGACTGAGAGGTTTTCTCAGAAGCCTTTGGTGAGGGACCGTTTCAAATGCTTTCTGAAAATCCAGATAGACAGTATCCACTGGTTCGCCCACGTCCACATGCCTGTTGATCTTTTCAAAGAATTCTAAAAAGTTTGTGAGGCAAGACTTACCCTTACAGAAGCCATGCTGATTTTCCCTCAGCAAGACTTATTCTTCTATATGTTTTAAGATTTCATCTTGGATGAGGCTTTCCACTGTCTTCCCTGGGACAGACATTAGGCTAACCAGTCTGTAGTTTCTCAGGGGCCCCCTCCTTTACTTTTTAAAGATTGGGGTGATGTGCTATCCTCCAGTCTTCTGGCATTGTGGCTGTTTTAATGGACAAGTTATATATTTTAGTTAAGAGATCAATAACTTCATTTCTCAATTCCTTAATAACCCTTGGGTGGATGCAGTCTGGGCCTGGTGACTTATTGAAATTCAATTTATCTATTAGGTCTAAAACATCCTCTGTTTTAACCTGTATCTCAATTAGTTTATTAGTCAGGAGGGGCCTTTTGGGCAGTGGAATCTGCCCAAAGTGTTGTGAAGGCAGATGCAAAGAACATATTTAATTCCTTTGCAATCTCCAAGTCCCCCTTTTTCTCCCCTTTCCTCCTTTCACTATCCAGAGGGCCAACCGCTTCTCTGGCAGGTTTCCTGTTTCTAACATATTTAAAGAAGCTTTTATTATTCCCCTTCATATTGCTTGCCATACATTCCTCGAAGTCCTCCTTTGCCTTCCTTATCATCTTCTTACATTTCTTTTGCCAGAGTTTGTGTTCCTTTTTATCTTCTTCCTTGGGAAGGATTTCCATTTATGGGAGGACTCTCCTTGCCCTTCAAAGCCTCTCTAACACTGCTCATTAATCATGGTGACACTCTCTTGGACTTAATTGAGCCCTTCTTTCTTTGTGGTGTACACTTCCACTGGACCTCTGCTACTATTGTTTTAAACAGGCTCCATGTACTCTGGAGAGATGAGATTTTTTACCTTCCCTTTCAACTTCTTTCTAACTAATTTCCTCATCTGAGGAAAGTCTGCCCTTTGGCAATCAAGGGTTTTTGTGTCATATTTACTTTACTCTCTCCCCCCAACATGCATGGCGAAAGAGATCGCAGCATGGTCACTATTCTCTAGCGCAGGGGTCTCAAACTGAATTTACCAGGGGGCCGTTGGAGGCAGAGTCTGGGTGAGGCTGGGCTGCATCAGATTTTCGGCCAAGTGGAGCAAGAGCCCGAGGAAGCTGCCCAGGAGTTTCCTTAGCCCGGCTCAGCTCCAAGGAGGAGGAGGAGGGGCGCGTGAGCCCTCATTGCCATCCATGAGCCCCTCTGGCTCCTTCTTCACTACCACCACCACCACCAGTAGCAGGACGAAGAAACAGAGAAGGGAAGGAGCACCTGCGACCACCTAGCCGGGGGGGGGGGACACACGACATAAAAATTTTTTAAAACTTCACAGAATGGCCTTGCCAAAGGAGAAAAGCTCCCATCGGTACCCGCGAAATTAAACAGAACGGGGCGGGGGCCTACAGGTGCGTGCATGCATACACACACACAAACACACACGGAGGTCCGGCAACCTTCCTCTGAGGGACCCCCTCAAAAAAAGGTGCACTCAGCAGCAGCAGCTACTCCCACCACGACAGAGGAGCAAACTTTGCAAGG